CCCTCCCCTCCCCCCACACTCCCCATCCAGAACCGTGACGTCATGAGCCACACACACAGGGAGCCGCCCCCCCACCAAAGGCTGCTGGCGGGAAACTTGCCCAGGTCTGCGCACCATCACTGACCTACTTACCAACTGCTCACCGAGCAATAAAAGTCTGACCTAGTTATCAACACTTGACCTAGCTGACCTAGTTATGACCGTCTAAACTAGTTACCTGAGTATGACCTAGTTATGAACGTCTGACCTAGTTACCTGAGTATGACCTAGTTATGAACGTCTGACCTAGTTATCAGTATCTGACGTAGCTGACCTAGTTATCAGTATCTGACGTAGCTGACCTAGTTATGAATGTCTAACCTAGTTACCTGAGTCTGACCTATTTATGAACGTCTGACCTAGTTACCACTTCTGACCTAGTTATGAACTCTGACTTAGTTACCCAAGTCTGACCTATTTATGAACGTCTGACCTAGTTATCAGCATCTGACCTAGCTACTAAAGTCTGACCTAGCTATCAACATCTGACCTATTTATCAACGTCTGACCTAGTTATCAACATATGACCTAGTTATTAAAGTCTGACCTAGTTTTCAACATCTGACCTAGTTATCAACGTCTGACCTAGCTGACCTAGTTATCAACGTCTGGCCTAGTTATGAACACTTGACCTAGTTATCAACGTCTGACTTAGCTGACCTAATTATGATCATCTGACCTAGTTATCAAAGTTTGACCTAGTTATGAAAGTTTGACCTGATTACCAACATCTGACCTAATTATCTACGTGTGGCCTAGTTACCCACGGCTGACCTAGTTACCCACGTCCTTTGGGCACACAGAAGCAGAGAAAAGAGAGGGGTGTAGACCTGTGCCTGGACCACTGTTCCTTTACCTGTCACAGCCAGCGCCCACTTCCGACACACCCACTTCCGACACACCCACTTCCGACACGCCCACTCCCACCACGCCCACTTCCGACACACCCACTTCCGACACACCCACCTACTGCCAACCTAAACGTCAGACTGCTCAATGGGTTATCAAAAAACACCAGCCTCTTCCCTGGCTGATCCTCACCACCCACCCCCACCCACCGCTCACCACCACCCACCCAAAAATCTCAAACTGCCCACGTGGATGGTTGGCGGGTGCTCTGGTGTGGTTTGCTCCTTCTTTCATATCAAACATCTATCGTCCTTATCTCCCGTGCCCCTCCTCCCTTTTTATGTTTGTTACTCTCTTGTAACACCTCTAATCTTCGGCACTTATATGACCTTATTGTGTTGCAAGTGCCGTAAAACTCTTGCTAAAAACAGAAAAACACAGCTGACTTGTGGGCGGCACCGGCCGGGTCGACTGACTCACGTGTAGACTTTGCGCTACTTCAGAATTACAAAAGTTTGATCTGCAATGTAGCCTACCTAGATCTAGTTTTCCGAAAAATCGAAGTTGAAAATTTTTAGTTTCACAACATGGTCAAGCTTTTTCGAATGCACCAACTTTTTAGATTATTTACGTAACATAATAATAATAATAATAATAATAATAATAATAATAATAATAATAATAATAAAAATTGCATTTATATAGCGCATATCCATGCTCAAGAGCATGCTCTAGGCGCTTTACAACTATTATTACCCCAGCAGACCCTCTGAGAACACTCAGAAACATTTTCGGTTTCCGCGGAAGCATACAGTGCAAGCTGCGGATTTCACGCTCTCAAACACTATCAGACTGCCAAGATCGTTCACTGTCTGTAGCCGGGTACCCATTTCCACCTGGGTGAAGTGAGGAAAATTTGTGCAAAGTGCTTTTCCCAAGGACACAACGTCGGGCCCCTAACGGGATTCGAACCCATGACCTTACGGTTGCGAGTCCGAGAGCCTAACCACTAGGCCACCGACGTCACAACAGGAAGTAAATTGAGTTGTAACAGGTGCTAATAAACTCAAAACGGCCAGCAATGTCAGATAAAACTGTATAATTCTGAGGTAGCGATAATTTGCTATGGGCACTCGTATGTAAGAGTATATCATTATATCCATTCTACAACAATTGTCTGCCTGTCAGGACATATCCATTCTACTGCATGGATATAAAATATATATATAATATCGGTCTTGTTTATTTGTGTCAAGAGATATCATCATATCGATTTGACAATATATCATATCTGTCTCGTCTGTGTTTATCAAGTTTTATAGACATATCGATTCTACTGTATATATCGTGTATGTGTGTGTCAGGGTATATCACCATATCGATTCGACAATATATCAAATCTGTCTCGTCTGTGACAAAGATCGTACCTAATGATAGTTTCACTCCTCTCTTTGTGAAAAAATGGAGAAATGGTATAGGTTTCACGCCCCTATCAACACTATTAGGTTATTTAAGAGGCGGGGCCTCCTAGTTTAACGTCCGTCTCCGATAGGACCGAGCCAAGTGGGAAGTTCGTGCAAAGTGTCTTTCCCAAGGACACAACCTCGAACCGAGCTGAGGCTCAAACCCCCGAACCCGCAATCTAACGATTACGAGTCCGGTAACCTAACCACAAGGCTACCGACGCCACCCTGTCTTTGTGAGCCAATTTTAAAAATGTGTCCTCTAAATCCAGTGGGTGGGTGGTTTGCGGGTGCTCTGGTGTGGTGTGCTCCTTCTTTCGTATAAAAATTGTTAAAATCTATCGTCTCTATCTCCCTTCCTTCTTTTTTGTTTTTGTTGTTACTCTCTTGTAACACCTCTAATCTTCGGCACTTATTTGACCTTATTGTGTTGCAAGTGCCGTAAAATTCTTACTAAAACTACAACAACAACCTAACCGATGGCGCTCTCTTCGAAAAAGCGCGGACTTTGCGAACATAGTTACCTACTTGTGTGAAAAAGTAATAAAAGTTAAACTAACAAACTGTGCTATTCCTATTCTTCTTCTGGAGAAACGAAAGAGAGCTTCCAAACAAAGACTGCAGCGCCATCTGAACAAATGCGCGGACTTCCGCGGATATATTTTTGGCCGAGTGAACTATCTTGTTATGTAAGATCTCTGAGTGAACTATCTTGTTATGTAGGATCTTTGGCTGAGTGAACTATCTTGTTATGTACGATCTTTGGCTGAGTGAACTATCTTGTTATGTACTATCTTTGGCTGAGTGAACTATCTTGTTATGAACAATCTTTGGCCAAGTGAACTATCTCGTTATGTACGATCTTTGGCTGAGTGAACTATCTTGTTATGAACGATCTTTGGCTGAGTGAACTATCTTGTTATGAACGATCTTTGGCTGAGTGAACTATCTTGTTATGTACTATCTTTGGCTGAATGAACTATCTTGTTATGTACGATCTTTGGCTGAGTGAACTATCTTGTTATGAACGATCTTTTTGTGTGTGAAGGTTTCGAGGAATATCGATTCTACTGTATATATTTGTCATATATGTGTGTGTCAGGCCATATCACCATATCGATTCTACAATATATGATATGTCTTGTCTGTATGTATATCATATATCATATATCATCATACTGATTCTACTGTATATATATATATAATAATGTGTCATGACATGGTGGAATCAGGCGCTCGTCAATTTTGGGGTGTGTGGAGTTATTGGAATCATATGAAAACTGATTTATTTGCCTTGTTTCCCGTGAAATCAAATCCATTTATCTTGAATAGAATGTAAGATTTTTGCGATGGAAGGAAGTGAGGTCACCTGGTTTCAGTGGGGAAATTAGCGAGAAAATAGCCGCCAAAGTTTGGGATCTCCAATAGCTAAAGAGTCTTTGAAAACTGAAAAGTGGCATATTTGTGCATTTAATCAATTTTTTTCAGTAAAATTCACATGGAAATGTCGTTTTTGCATGGACTTAAAAGAGGTTAAAAGAAAAATAAACCAAAAATTCGAGAGAGAAAAATTTTAAGTGATTGAGAAATCCCTGTTTCTCCGATTTCGTTTTTTTGACGAGCACCTGATTTCACCACGCTGCCTCCCGTATATCTCTGTGTGTGTGTGTGTGTGTGTGTGTGTG